AATAGGCTACGAGCCTCACCTTCATCTAGTTAAAACCCCTCCTAAATATCGTAGCTAGAAACAACCTACTTAGATACTTGTAGGCCTAAAAACCCTACACGTCTTATATAGCCCTTCGGGCTGAAAAAGGACGTTAAACTAGAATAATAATAATAATAATAATAATAACATCTCCTGTTGAGGTTGAATGTGGTGTCAGCATGCGCATTGAACACATAGGCTGCTAGGCACGGACTGTCGGTCAACGGAAAGCACGTGATGGACCCACCTGCGGGTCACGCGGACCGCTCGTGCTTTTTACCTTGAACTTTCAAGGCTACTAAGTGAGCACTGTGGAGGAGCTTCCTATACTCCAATCCTTCCCGTAATTTTGTCCTGACAACTCGCAAGGACACATTTCAAGTCATGTCTTATGGCACGATACAAGACGCCCCGCCGGCAGCTGGGCGTGCCAAGGTGCGCTTTGTACCGGATTTGCCAGCAGCAGCTCCATCAAGCTCTCCCGATGAAGACAGCAATTTCGAGATCCAAGAACGAACACTGCTGGAGAGAGTGAAATTCAGATTGAACCACTTTTACGAACGTAATTTTGGTCTTTTTCTCGTCTTTTTGTCGCAAACGTGTGGATCTGTTGTAAGTTTTCTCTTCTCGTCACCCGCTGACTTGGCTATGGTTTGGCTGATTGTTCATGGTTTAGATGAATACAGCAGCAAAGCTGCTCACCAATGACCCTAGCATAAAGTTTCACGCACTGCAAATCATTTTCATCCGCATGTTATGTACTGGTATTCTCTGCTCGATATACTCTTGGTACAAAGGCGTACCTGAATTTCCCTTTGGGCCGAGGGGTGTGAGAGGTTTGTTGATATTACGAGGTGCATCAGGTTTTGTGGGGTTGTTTGGAATATATTGTGAGTCCACTCCACCTCTCCACCGCATATCGCGGCCAGTTTCGCAAAGCAAAAGAAGGCATACACCGCCAAGAAGACATGCGCTTGCAGTGAAAATCAAGTATAGGCAGAAACTAATGCATCTTCTAGACTCGCTCGCTTGGCTCGGGTTCTCTGACGCGACCGTAATCACTTTCATTGTGCCCACCACAACTGCGATAGTCTGCTTTTTTATTCTCCGCGAGCCTTTCACATGGAAAGAAGCACTCTGCAGCGTTGTCGCCTTCTCGGGGGTCCTATTTGTTGCACGTCCACCGTGGCTATTCCCGGAAACACACCACATGTCACCCGGACCAGATGAACCGAATGTTACAGTACCCTCCATCACCCCCCAACAGCGCGCTCTAGCAGTTACTGTTGCCATTGTGGGAACTTTAGGGGCCAGCACTGCCTATTCTACCATACGAATCATAGGAAAACGCGCCCACTCCCTTATATCAGTCAACTACTTTTCTTTGATTGCTACTCTAGCATCCTTTCTTGTTATTCTTTTTCACCCAGATTTACATTTCACATTACCCACTACCTGGCTACAGTGGGGTCTCATCGCTATCATTGGTCTGTTCGGCTTCTTGCTCCAGTTTCTGCTTACGGAGGGCTTGCAGAGGGAAAAGGCCGGTAGAGCCATGAATCTGATGTACCTACAACTTGTTTTTGCACTCGTAGTTGAAAGACTCATCTGGGGTACCACACCACCTGTGGAAAGTCTTGTTGGCGCAGCGCTTATTATCGCGTCAGCTGTTGCGCTCAGCTTGCAGAAAGGGGCGGGAAAGGGAGATGGGAAGAAGAAACAGCCTGATCCCGAGGCGAGGGGTTTACTGGAAGAGGGCGAGTGAAGTAAAGCGCGTTGTGCGCATTACTAATTTTGACCTGGCTTATTTTAAAATTGTTAACAGGCGAGGTTGAGGTAAGCCATGTTGTAGCTACATTTGCTACTCACACGTCCATTGCGAGTAATCTAGCCGACTTGAGCTGGTTGTATGTGTGATTCTACCCAGTCTTTGGAAATAGCAATCATAGATATGAATTCAGTAGGACAGAAAGGATAGAATTAAGGATAAATGAAAGGTGGGGAAGAAAAAAGTCCCCACATGTTCGACCACCGACCTCAAATAGTAATTATTCATATCTAGATCCGGATTTTTACCCACCATCTATCTCAGACTAGGCCCCACTTAGCCCGCACATCTGCAAGGAACGCCTGGAGGCGACACGTCTCGCAGCTGCAAGTCGTTGGAGCTAAGTAGCGGAAGACTGGGGTCCCTTTTTCCACGTTTTTTTTGCTTTTTATGGAAAAGAGCGCTTTATGTGGCTGATGTGGAGGAACGCTCCAGTGCCGGAACGGCACGTCCCGAGAACCATGTCTCCTTTGCTGACTGTAACAGTAACAAGGACCCTGATGCAAACTTAATCGTAAAACAGTTGTGCTTAGATGCATGGATCATAATTGAGGGATTTATTCATGTCGTATACCCAATGCTTATGTTGTGCATGGTAGGAAAGGACTCATAGAGGAATCGTGGCTTTGGGGGAAAAGACGCTGATATGAAGTAGTGACCCTCACAGACTGCCGAACATCAATGAGTAACTAACTGCTAAGTCCCGGTATCAGAAGCATAATGTCCATAGAATGACATGATAGTTCGGTTATAAGTGCCGGAGAGGTCGCGAAGACGGATAGTTCAACATAGTATGTAGTGTCGCGATCCTGAGGGAGCTGCATGTGAAAAGCCCAAAGCTGTAAACCATCTCCATTCCAGGGCACTTTAAATCGCTCTGAAAAGCAGATAATGATATATATATATATATTCATGAGGTTGGTGCTTGGAGTTGCTTACGACACACGCCAGTGGGTTGGACAGAAAGACTTGTCGATACTAATGTGTGAGGAAGAGTTTATCAATAATGCTTTGTTAGCAACGGAAGCGCATAAGCAAAAAATTCTTATGTGATGTAGAGAAGCATGTGTATTGAATCAAATTCAGACCAAGGTCTTAGAAACATCAAGTGGAGATATGTTAGCAGTAAGTTGAATTAAATAGGAACGTCATTATCTACGAGACCGATGCAAGCTCAACTTTTGTCGGTTTCTTCGTACGAGCAGAACAGATTTGCATCATCAACGAAGAAACCTTAATCGTATATCACCAAGGGAGCGGGTAGTAGAAGCAGTCTTTCTTCGTTCGACGTATCAAAACAGTACACTCTTAAAACTGCTTGCACAATCCGTAATGTCTCCAAGTAAACGAGATAACTAGCCATCTTTTAGAATAGCAAATGTTTGCATCTTGCACAGCTATTATAGCAACACTTTAGGGTGTTTTTCAGGAGCAGTATACTTTCCCCAACTTCGGCTGGGGAAGTTGCCACTAGTGGGCTCCGTTAGCGGCGTTGCCTTATCGTCTTATCGAAGCCGCGGGGAAAACGCGACGCGACCGCGCGTCAATTCCATACCTGTCTACAGATGCCATCACCGTCGCATGAATACGAGTATCCACGAAAAAGAAACTTGATATGCCTAAACTCAGGAAAGAACTCGGATAATATCGATGAGTGGTGCCATGACAAAGCGCTCACGCGGATGGTAATGTACCCCGCGAACTATGATAAGCGGGCCGGAGCTTACGCGGGGATACGGAACGCCATCACCCCCCTACAGACTGTCTACTTGTCCGACCTCCTTCGACACTTTCTTGCCGCACCGCCCTTTCATCCTTCCTAAGGTAGATTATATCCCTTTACAAACGCTTGCATATTTGCTTTGCTTTATCGACCAACTCGTTCATGTGACTATTGCCTCGTATTGACCCTGCTCCGAGGAGCTGCTGGTGCCTTGCAGTGAAGCTTGGAAAGACCCGACGGTAAACACCCCATCTTCCTGCAACTATGTCAGTTCTAACTTATTAGATTACTTCACTCCCCTGTACTATCTTCTCACTTCTCGCCAAGTCTGCCCCTTTACTTCCACGATGACCTGGTGGCGTCGCGACTCGACCATCTCCCCTGTCCAGCGCTACGCGCAACGTCTGCTTCGCTCCCACGAAGCTGCTCTTCGCACACGAGGCTTCTCCCGTACACCTTCGAAGGCCGCCCAACATGAAGACGACAAGGGCTCCAATCGCCCAGCTGGCATGTCCAACCTGGAGTGGATGCAATCGCAGCACTATCAACGGTGGCGAAAAAGGTTGATGGAGGACCCATACCATGTTCTCTTCGGGGCTAGCAATGACATGCTGAATGGGAAGGGATTGAAGGACTGGGAGTGGATCAGTAACACTTTTCCCAAATGGATGCTGAGGGAGATGGACGGGCATGAGGACGCCACCCAACAGCCAAAGAGGGATAAAGACTCCAATCCGTCTGCGAGGTTTCCGAAAAAGGTGGAAATCAACAACGATGAGCCAAGTGCCCCTGGCAAGAGAGATTCATACTTTCCGCAGCCTACGATCAGGGCCACACGGATCGACCGCGACGATTTCGGTGGTATTGTGTCACCATCCGACCTGAGACGGCCAAGGGAACAGCCTGATTTCCCAGTCTCTGTAGAAATCAAGGAAGCGGAAATTGAGTTCAGTTCCAAGCCAAGCGCCTCCCTACCACCAGCGGATCCGCCTCAAGTCATCAATCTTTCGCCACCGACACCACCTAAAAGCATACAGTCTTTTAGCGATTACATAGCTCAGACGAAATCGAAAGCGGCCAACGAAATCAAACAGTCGATTCAGCCTACGGTGGTGAAAGACGAATCTTTTATGGATGGGTTTCTTGCCGATGAGCCAACTGTCAGCACCCCTTCCATCACCTCTAGTTGGAGGGAAACCGCACTACAGCGGCGATCATTAGAGAGCAGCTCGACGAAGTCCGAAGCCAGCAAAGAGCCTTTGGAGACTATGCCAACCGCTCAAGAAAACGAAACGATGCTCTCGAGTCCAGTTGCAGATGAGCGTTCCGCAACACAAACCGTGAATCAAATGATACCCGCTGAAGTCGTGAATGAAGGACAAGACTTACCACCAGTGAACGAGACCGACAAGCCACAAACCATTGCTCCAACAGCTCGGACAACATCAGAGAAATTGAGTCAGCTACCTGAGGACGATCTCGACTTTTTGAGTGCGGCTGATATTCGCGCATCCATGGGTGCAAGAAAGAGTAAGATTCTGAGTGATGAACAGAAGAAAAGTGCGCGAGAAAACTTGGAGAGATCCTTTGCAGACGCACATGCTAAGGGCGACGAAGTCCACCCGATGATTGAATCCAAGATCATCAATGATCAGTTTGTGCGCCGTACCGAACGTAAAATGCGGTTCTCGGATGTTTCAAAGGAAATCAACGATCCCGCGTCAGGCCGAGAGACCGACACGACATCTAACCTAGCAAGCGAAAATCAGCTCGAGTCAAGTATTGAACGCATGAAATCGTGGCTCGAGCAAGGCGGCGCCATGTTTGCGAACTACTTCTGGCAGGATCCGACAGAAGAAGCTGATGCAAAGAAGACTCGTTTGTTCTTCGACAAAGTGCTAGCACGTGTTCGCAAGGGACGCACGGCCATGAAACAAGTAATTGAAGACCTAGAAACGGATATTCCTTCATCCAAGCAACTTTTGAGGCGCATGAAAACCGATGAAGACGTCTTGGACTCGGCAATTCACGCTCTGCGACAACGCTCGGGCAGTGACAAGATACAGCCACTATCGCCAAGGAAAGTCCGGGCTATACAGTCCCTGCGCTTGAAGTACCAAGACACCGATAATGATTTGAGCAAGGCCTACGCGGCTCTGGATGAGATCGGCAAGTCTGACGCGGCCAAGAACGTCTCCTTGGCATTCAAGCGACGACTGGTCATTGGGTCGAAAATCATTCAGAAAAACGCCCATCTTACGCGTTACCTGATATGGAGTTTGCAAGCTCGTCTCGAGGATCCGGAAATTGACCGAAGCATGCTGGCTAATTACAAGGCCGTCGCGAACAGCTTGTTGACTCTGAGAGACACGCAAATGGCGTTATCTCGGCTGGTAGATCGTGCCATGTTAGTTTACGGCGTAGAGCCACAGACTGTGGAGAAGCTCGATTTCCTGAACCAAACTGGCCTTGATATATCGACAGAGCATGGACAAAAGTCCGCTTCCGATGCTACTGCCAGTATGACTCCGATCGACAAAGCCCAGCTTCGTGCCAAAATCGCTGCCGAAGAACGCCTTGCCAACGAAGTCGATGCACAGAAGTCCGCAATGCGCGGGTTGTCCGATGATGGATATGTACGTGGGCCGAACACTGCAGCAAATAAATCATTTGAGGGGCGAGGTCCACTTGATCATAGTCTCTATCGGCCCTTTGGAACGGTACTGGAAAGCTTGGGCAGCGAACTGCCTTCAAGAGTAGAGGCGTCCAAGCCTGAAGAAGAAGGGCCAAAAACTTACAACGATGCTGAGCTAGTTGCGGAGGTGCAGAAGGCTTACGAGGACACATATGGCCCGATTAGTGTCGGCCATCAACAGCTGACCGACGCTGCTGACAAGGTAAAACAGGAGCAAGAAAATGATGTCAAGAAATTCGAGATGTTGAAAGACGATCCCACGACTGGCGAGGATGCTCTATTGCAGGTCAATGATACTCAAATCTCCGAGACCATAGCTACGAAGCCAGATGCGACAGCAGATGCTATCCCGCAAGCTGTACAGGACGATGCTGCGACCGCCCAGGCCGCGCCCTCAACCGAGACTGCTACCTCAACTCGTCAAAGTAACGAAACACTGCCTGACTCTACGCCTGATACATCCACTACGGCCAACTCATCCCATCCTTCAATCGCCCATCTCCCAACACACTACACGATTCTCATCCACGATGCAGAAACCAACTCCGTCTCTCTCACAACCTCCACCTCGCCTCCACCCCGCGACACATCCCCCTTCATCCCACTACACAGTGCTCTGTCGACCCTCCATTCTCCCTCAAAATTCATGCCATACATTACTCCCAACCTCGAAATCGTCACCGCTAAACCTGATATGCTTATCCTGCGCGACGCGGTACCTCCATCTGGCGCACCATCATTCCAATCCATGGAAAGCAGTGCAAATCCAGACGGCGAAATCCAGCAACAGCGGATTATCAATCCCATAGACGGTACCACGCGCCTCTCGCCCACGGGCTATGTTGGCCCAGAGGAGAACCGTGAGCAGCTCGAACGGGAGTTTGACGAGAGGAGACGCGAAGCCGAGCGTGTGATGCTGGGTCCAGGGTTGGGTAGCGCTGAGAAAGCCCGTGGAGGACGGGCGTCGGCAGAGGGTGCAGAGAGGAAGAGAGGCGGAAAGGGTGCAGGTGTGGTCAAGACGGCGATTTGGGCGGCGGCTACGTGCTATGTTGTTGGTGTTTTGGGAGAACTTGTTGGTTCAATGTGAGAAGCATAGCATGACTTGAGGAGAGAAGGTAATGTATCCTTCTTACCTGTGGTGTGGGGTTTCTTCTGTATGATGTACGAAGCTGTTATTTTTCCAAGCTTCTTTTCTTGTATATGGATGGACGTGTAGGCGTTGGATGGAGGCGTTGCTCACTCAGGCATTGACAACACCGCTCTTACTCTGGTTAGAATTATATATTTATTTAACTACACATCAGCCGAGATTCGGGCTTCCATCGCATTGATGTGAGATGATCGGACACATCATATCTCGGAATTATACGTCACAGAGTAGAGCATCATTCTATTGAATCAAATTTTGATATTACTATTCCTTCATGTCATGATTATGAAAAAAAGAAAGACTGGTATCATTGCATCTGTATCCCGGCAAAAACCCCGATCATGCTGGAACTCAAAAGGTCATGACATCAAGCACTGAGCGATCTATCATTCTCCGTTTGGGATTGAAGGAGATCAAGAAAAAGAAAACATTTGGAAACCGGTACATGGGTCTAGAAGTGTGGCGTGTTCAGCGCCATGACCATGAGCAGACCAGAAATCAGACCAGCACCAGGCAGAGTGATGATCCAACCAGAGAAGATGAAACCGACTTGCTTCCAGTTGACGGCCTTGAGGTCGAAGTTGCAGAGCGCGACACCGATGGTGGCGCCCGTCAGGCACTGTGTGGTGGAGACGGGAAGGGCCAGACGAGAGGCCAGGAGGACAGTGATGGCGGCACCGAGCTCCATGGAGAAACCACGGGTAGGCGAGACCTGTGTGATCTTGTTTCCGAGCGCGCGAACCACGTGGTAGCCGTAAAACCAGAAACCAGCACCAAGGAGCAGACCGGCGATGACTAGGATCCAGACGGGGGTGTCGGCAGACTTGGTGACGACTCCGGTGGTGTAGGTGTTGTAGGTAGCAACCCAGGGGCCGACGGCGTTGGCAACTATTGGGGGAAAAAAAATTAGTGTCTGTTTGTCTAGTGGCGGGAATGTGATGTGCAGCTTACCATCGTTGGAACCATGAGCAATAGACATCATCATAGCGGAGGCAACTTGGGCATATGTCCAGAGATGCTCGACACGATTGTCGTAGACGACAGCACGGGCGTGGATTGCGCCGAGATCTGAGGGTCGATGTTAGCAACTGGTCAAGTGATAAGGTGGATGGATAACTTACCCTTCTGGCTGACGACATCGCGGGAAACACCCTGAAGGAGGATGTACTTGATCCACGCCACGATTTTCTTTGGAGAGGTGATGGGGAGGTGCTCGACAGGCTTCAACCAGCGCTCCTCGGGCTCAGGCTTGGCGGGGATGATGTGCGCAACAGGGCCTTCGCGGGGAAGAGGGGTGGAGAGACCACGGCCACCACGCTCAACGTCGATGTTGTCGCTGTCACCAGAAGACTTGTTGTCGAGACAAGTAGAGTGAGCATTGCCCTTCTCGTTCTTCAGGGTGTCCTGAATGGGGACACTCTCGACGGGGGCTGCTTTGGCGTAGTAGTCGGTGACAATCTGGTCGCCCTTGCCGGGGAAGTAGACGGGAGGGTTCTCGCGATACAGAAGAGGGCCAAGGGGAATGTGCCAGAACCTCATCCTCGCGTCACCCTTGACAAGACGGCGAGTGAAGTAGGGAACGAAGAAGATGTACGACATGGCAAGAACGCCAAAGAAGACGCCGAGGATGATGCCACAAGCCTTGCCAGCACCCATTTCCTCGAGAGACTCGCCGTTTGGCAGCTCATCGATGATGAAGAGAGCAAGAACACCGGCGGTGAAGGCCAGGTAGAAGGGGATCAAGCGCAGACCCCACTTGAGAGGGTCCTTCCTCTGATGTACACCAAACTTGACAGTCAGGAAGAGGATAGCAGCAAAGGCAGCGGAGATGAAGGGGGCAATAACCCAAGAAGCGGCAATCTGGGAGATGGAACCCTTCTTCCAGCCCCAGCTAAGAGGCGACTGAGCAGCAATGCCGGCGCCCGCGAGGGCTCCGACAACCGTCTGTGTGGTGGAAACAGGCATACCGGCAATGGTGGCGATGGTCAGGAAGGTAGCAGAACCGACCTCGGCGCAGCCCATGGCAAGCATCAGAGTGGCAGGCGCAGGCTTGAAAGTGTCGAGGGAAAAGATGCCACTCTTGATGGTGCCTGTGACACGGGAGCCCAGAGCAACAGCACCCAGGAATTCGGTAACCGAGGCGAGGATACCGGCCTGCCACATCTTCAGGGTCCGGGCGGCGACCGAAGTGGCGTACGAGTTGGCGACATCGTTGGCGCCGTTGGAGGCCGACGAGAGGACAAAGGCGATGGTGGTAATGGCAAGGATCCAGTCGTACTTCTTCAGGGCGGGAGCCATGGCTAGCTAGACAAGGAAGGCGAGCAGCGCCGCCGGTCTGAGTGGAACAAGAGAGGTGTTTTGAGGTGGCCTGGGGGAGAAGAGGGCTGGTTGATTGCGTGCAGGCAATCTTATATAGCCAGCAGCGCCCTCTTGGGCGTTGGGACCTTGGCTGGAAACATGACAGGCGGGCTGGTGGTGAATGAGGGCACAGGCGCATGTGGGCCTCAGGCGGCGCCGGCTGCCGCATTGAGGCGAGGTGGAGCGAGGCAGCCACAGTATCATGATATTTGGCATGTCCAGCCCATCAGGATGCGGGTGGCAGGCCATGGAGGAGCGTTGTGGGCAGCGGATTCTGGCGAGAGCGGCGTGCCATTGGTGGCGAGGGCAGGCGAGTGGTGAGGGATAGCACAGGATTCGCTCCACGTCGGAATCGCGTAGAGTGGAGCGCGCCCATGGGCTGCGAGACTGGGGGCGGAGGGGAGAGGGAGAGTGGACGAACGAGAGCTGGAGATGCGGGCACGTTTCTGCAGACGTCCGCCCGCGCCAAGCCTGCCCAGCCCGCCGCCAAGACGCCTTCACCCTCGCTGGAAATCTCTGAGGCTGCCGAGACTCTCGGGACTGGTAAATCGCCACAGCCAATCAGCGCCCGCCCTTGGAGCATGCGCTCAACCCACGGCCTCACAGCGCTCGACGGTATCGCGATGCCCGCCGCCGCCATTGGGGCCGGACAGCCGTCCTCTCTCTCGATTCTGCCTCGCCCAAGCCTTGCAAAGTTCGCCCAGCCGCTCTTCAGCAAGCTTCTGTCCCGCCGCGAGACATGGTGCAGCCAGCACTACATTCCCATCCCAATACCTCCATCCTGTCGACATGATCCCCATGTCCGAGGCCCGAGGAGAGAGATCAGCACCGGCATCATGCACCCTCAGCCAACCGCAACTTTGACAGCCGCACCCCCCATAACACCATAGCATATACGCCATAGCGGACCACGTGCATCCGCCCACGGCCTGCCAAGACCTGACTCTCTGCCCAACAGCCATGAATGAGGCATTTCGTATCCTGTTTGTTGGTACCCCACACGTGAAACCCTATCAAGTGGCTGCTGCATCACGCACCGCCATAGCATCTCAGCCCTGGCCGTTTCACACTTGGCAGCTTTTTAGAAGCTGCACGAAGCCCTAGTCCGGCTGCAGTATTCTCGGACCTGCCGAGTTCCAGTCCACCTCTCGTGGGGCTCCTCCCATTACCCTCAAAGTAAATGATTCATCCACAGTCTCCAGTAAACCGGCGTCTCGGATTTCACTCACATCTTTCCCTCTTCGTTGCACATTTCCAAATCTTTCTTTAGCCGCGATGCGAGAATCGCTGTCCCGAGGTCTTGGCTATCAAGTCCTAATGCTGCTGAACCTTGACATAGATATTTTTCACAGAACCAGTGATTGGACATGTCCAAGAGTAAGACGATACTACACTATATTTACGGTGGCATTCAAAAGACAAACTTTGCAGGGTACACGGGCACAGACGCATAGCCTGACACTGTACAGGAACCCCCAGAAGCTTGTCTGCACATTGTCAGGACAACACACATCCACCCGCAAACAGACATGTGGAATAGCACTGTATTGGTTGGTAGTTGGCCGAATCGTGAGTCATTTCCACCAAACTATACAAAACAAGAACCACTGTGTTCGCATCAGATCACACCACGGATATACCTGGCAGCGTTACCGTTACACCCACATTATGCAGGCCGTCCCAAACCCTTCCCTTACCGCCGAACCGATTCGGTCCGAGAAATCGAGGGCCATGCGCATTTTCCCTTGGTTGATCACAACACGCTCGCATTGTTGAATGGCACTCTCGACAGGATTCTATTTTCACTTCGGTGTTATGCCCTGCATTGGCGACAGACACGACTCAACAATGACGGGTATGCTTCCGTTCAAGCTGTAGTCTGGTGAACCATTCTTGTCCTGTGTCTTCTAGGTCGACGAGCTCCAAATACTCGCGTGCATTCAAGCACGTATCCATAGTGTCTCAGTCCCACGCTCCCCATATCAGGCGGGAGAACGCAAAAACTTCTCAGCGTTCTCATTATCCAGGATACGACTACACTACATCTGCATACTGCATGCTACACGGCTGTGACACTACCTATGATCATGGCCGCGGTTAGAATCACTCAAACCCGTTTCAAACCCACATTTCCTTTCCACTCTCTTTATCACCTGCCAAGGGTAAAAAGCCACAAAGTCTCATTGGTCTACAAACTGTATGCGCTTCTACCTCTCCACGCCTACACCTTTTCTTTCCCATCCCACCCAAGTAGCGAAAAAAAGAAGAAAGAAAACCACAACTCCGCTTTTAAATATCTCGCGTTGCAGCTCTAGCTGCCAACATAACGCAATTCCCTCATTGTCATCATCATCATCATCATCGTCATCTGTATCCAAGCCAACGTGTATTCCATGTACTAAATTTCTCGCACTGCTTACTCGATTTCCGCTACTGCTTACTCACTAACTCACTCACACACACACACACACACACACACACACACACTCCACGCTATAATTACCAACAAACTTACATCAGCACTTTAATCCCGCACTACTACTCAACCCCCCATATTTATGCATTTTGTATTTCAACTTTCCATCCATCCATGCCATGCATGCATTCACAATTCTGGTTAACCCCCTCCCCCCCCTCCTCCTCTTCCCCGAACTTCCCTCTTTTCCATGTACTTTTCCTTTGCTTCCCCTTCTTTTTCTTCCCCCCCCCCCCGCATCCATGCTCCCGCACAACCCCCCGCTACTTACTTAGCGTCGGCATTACCACTACAAAAAAAGGGGGGGGGGGAAACAAACTATATCTAGTCCACTGACTAAGCAATTTCCAGTAACGTGTTTTATCAGTAAGCGGCCCACATCAGTAAGTGGCCCACCCCACCAAACCTGACGCGATACTCTCCACAACCACCACTATGCCGCGACAACAACGCTCTGTACAGACTTCTCGTGAAGGTAGAGTTCTTCTAGCATCTCGCGCGCTTCAAGAAAAACGTGTTGTAAGCTAGCGCCAAGCTGCTATGCTATACGACGCTCCACGAACAACGCTCCGACGACGCCTCCGCGGTACCAAGCCACGATCAGAGACAGCCTCCGTCAATCGCAAGCTATTAGCTGTCGAAGAGTAGTCTCTTGTTCAATGG